TCATAACAACAGTATTGATTTATGTACTTACTATCCAAGGCTCTATTATGAATAGTCTATTATGAATAGCTTACAAATACGAACACATTTAGTCCACAGGAGAGCTCTAGACCATGTTTGGCATTACTGACTTTTGGAAGCAGGTAATTTGCACGTGGTGGGGCTATTTAATAGTATCCCCAGCCTCAACCCACTCAATGCCAATTCTGCTGCTCCAAAAATGTTTACAGCTGTTGCCGACTGTTCCCTCGGGGTAAGACCACTGCCCCTGCTTGAGAACCATTACTCTAAAAGAAAGGGTAACTGGTTAGTCCAGATGTCATCCAGCTGCTTCCTGACTCATCACCCCACACTGATGTGTCACAGGAGAACTGTGCTCCAGAGAGTTGTCAATGGCTGAATTTTTAGAAGCAGATCACCACGCCTTTCCTCCAAGACATCTCTGGGTAAATTGAAACCTCCAACCTTTCAGTAGCTGTTGTTGTTAAGTGCCGTCAAGTCAGTTCCAACCCACAGCAACCCTGTATAACAGTGTTTCCAAGGAGCGGCTGGTAGGTTTGAACCACCGATCTTGCAGTTCAAACTGACCTTGCGGTCCAGTGCATCATCCTGCAGAGCCACACCAGGGTACAACTAGCTATGTTGTTGTTAAGTGCCACTGAGTTGGTTTCTGACTCATAGAGAACCTGTGTAGGATTTCCAAGGAGCAGCTGGTGGGTTTGAACTGCCAACCCAATGGTTTGGAGTTCAGTGCTGATCCTACAGCGCCATACCAGGGGTCCCAGTTAATTATGTTTTTGTTGTTAAGTGCAGTAGAGTCAATTCCGACTCATAGTCACCCTGTATAGGGTTTCCAAGGAGCGGCTAGTGAGCTTGAACCACTGACCTTGCAGTTCAAACGACTTTGCAGTCTGACGCATTAACCCACAGTGCCACACCAGAACTATGGAGCATGTTAATTATTTTGTTAAGTGCCATTGAGTTGCTTTCAACTTATAGTGACCCTGCATAGGGTTTCCAAGGAGTGGGTGGATTTGACCTGAAGTCTTTGTGGTTAACAGTCCAGTGCTTATCTACAGCACCACCTTTAGATTCCTGTTAATTATTTGTACCACCCAAAAAAAGAAATTTACAAATGGGAAGCAGATGCAAAGAGAGGTTGAGTAAGTCACTTGGAATTACCAGTGAGTAGGGTGTAGAGTAGTGGTTACGAACTGGGCTGCTAACCTCAAGTTCAGCAGTTCAAAACTAGCAGGGGTTCCGTGGGAGAAAAATGAGGTGTTCTGCTCCCGTAAAGATTTACAGCCTCGGAAACCCTATGCAGGGTCACTAAGTGTCGGAACCGACTCCCCGGTACTTCACAACAACAACAGGGTGCTCTGGTAGCGTAGTGGTTACGAATCGGGCTGCTAATCTCACGGTCAGCAGTTTGAAACTACCAGCTATTGTGTAGGAGAAAGATGAAGCTTTCTGCTCCAGTAAACATTTTACAGCCTCGGAAACCCTGTACAGAGTGGCTGAGTCGGAACTGACTTCACTGCACACATAACACCAACAGGGAGCGCTGTGGAGCGCTGTGATTAGGAACCCAGGGCCTTGGTTCCTGAGTCAAGCACTTAGGCACACACCCAATGGCCTTGCAGTCCCCACAAGTTCTACTTAGGGGGTCATCTCTGGAAGATAAACGCCTTCACACAGTCTGGGGCCTCCCCTGGAAGGCTGAGGCTCAGAAAGCTTTCCCTTTTCACTTCATGTATTTCTTCATGATTTATGTATCTCTTCCTGTTGTTGTTAAGTGTTGTAGAGTCAGTTCTGAGTCCTAGTGACCCTGTATAGGCTTTCCAAAGAGTGGCTGGTGGGTTTGAACCACCGACCTTGTGGTTTTCAGTCCAGTGCTTATCCTACAGTGAGCACTACACCAGGACTCCACCAGCAAGTATGTTGTTGTTGTTGTTAAGTGCCGTCGAGTCGGTTCCGACCCACAGCGACCCTGTACAGGGTTTCCGAGGGTGTAAATCTTTACGGGAGTAGAAAGCCTCATCTTTCTCCCGCAGAGCGGCTGGTAGTTTCGAACCGCTGACCTTAAGGTTCGCAGCCCGATTCGTAACCACTACGCTACCAGAGCTCCTTACCAGCAAGTATAAAGTCATTTATATTAGAAAGGAGCATAGTAGTTATGCTAGTATTTCTGCAACAAATCAGTCCACGTGCCTGCAATAAATTTATTCTACAATAAATTTGCCCACGGCAGAACTCCAAACCTGATGTTCCTGAGGTGCCTGAGGTTTGTGACTTCTTCCTCTTGCTCATTTTATCCCTCGCTGAAGAAGTCTGAAAATGACAAGCGAAAGTACCCCATCATCTAGCAGTCCCTGTCCCCCTCTGTGCTCAGGGGCCTTGGCTGAGGGCAAAGGTCAGTTCCTTCTTGTCCATCACATACAAGGTAGTAGACACAGCTCTGTGCACCCTGGCTCAGGGTCCCTGGAAGAGTCCCAGCCATCTCCTTGGAAGTTCCCCAGCTAACCATAAACATGGCAGCTCAAATCCACCAGCTGCTTTTTCTCGGAAACCCTATTGTTAAGCGCCATTGATCGGTTCCGACTCATTACGACTCTGTATAGGGTTTCTGAAGGGCAAGCAGCTGGTGACCTTGTAGTTTAAACAGCGCTGGCGCCACGCCAGGACTCCCGAACTAGGGAACTTTCAAGGAGATGGTTGGGACTTTAACAGGGACACCTGGGGACTTTTGGGGGGAGCCTCTGGGCTCTTTAAGGCTGTTGGGGCATCTGAAGGGGCAGGCGCGCCCCACAGTATAAGCTTTCCCAGCTCTTGAGGACCAGAAAAGGGAAAACCGACCTGGGCCAGAGAAGTTGTGGAGCTCGCTAGGTCCGTATCGGAAACTAGGTTGGCCTGGATCTGTTGGGGAATACATCAATACATTACTGGCGCTTAAATTTTTTGAGAAAATAAAAGGCAGAGTTTGCCCTCAAGAGATGTCGTAAGTTGAAGAACAGCGGAGGTGAGGCCTGGGCGCGTGGACCCGCCGCTTCCAGTGATCGGCCGAGCACTAACCCTGTCCCAGGCAGGGATTTCTGGTAAGGCTAGAGTCCACAAGTGGTCGCAGAACACCGGGAACCTCGCGGAGCCACAGATCCTCACACCGACGCACACTTCACCATTTTCCCGCTCAGCGAGAGAGGGTGTGTGAGCATGCGCAATTCCAACCCTGTCCCTCTCTTTCGCGCACGCCACACCTCTTTCCCCGCGCAGCCCGCCGTCCAGTGTTACGCGTGCGCGCCTACGCGTTGCCTGCCGGGAGTTGTAGTTTGCCGAGGAGGGCCAAGCAAGTCCAGTAGTAGGTCTCGGGTGCTGTGCCGCCCGAGGGCTCAGGCGGAAGTGGGGCGGTCACACCAGGAGGCGAAGGTGCTGGGACAACGATTGCGGTGTGACGAGCAAGGGGCGCAGAATTCGGGAAGGGCGCCTGCGCGAGGACTGATCAACCCCCCCCTCCCTCGGGGGAGGAGGCAGGGCAAGGCCGGACGTGTGGTCCGGTTGTCTGGGCATCCAGCCTAGAAGATGCACAAGAGGAAGGGACCCCCAGGACCCCCAGGCCGAGGCGCTGCCGCAGCCCGCCAGGTAAGTCTATGTCCTACGGCCCCGCCAGGGGGACCCTCTGGAATCTCGTCACATGCTCTGGGGAGGGCCCCACCTCCAGGGGAGTCCGATTCCCGCCCCCAGGTGAGAGCCTTGTTCTCGCCCCTCAGTCTGACCAGGCGCTCCTCTTCTCCAAAGTGAGGCCTGCTGGATCTGGCCTCCCAGCTATGCCACCCCACCCCCACCTCTGAACTTGGCCACCTGTTGCCGCAGCAGCTCTAGTTGGGAAGGGGCAGGCCTAGGACCTGGGGTAATCAAGACAGTAACTGCTCACAGGTGGCTTGTGTGAGCCTGGAACTGGCGACAGCCAAGCCAAGTCTCTACCTTTTTTTTTTTTTTTTTCCCTTTCAAATCTCCATTGTACAGATGAGGACACTGAGGCCCAGAGAGGTGTCTGGGAATTGTCCAAGGTCATAAGGATTAGCAGTTTAGCTAAACCTAAGTGCAAATCCTGAGCTGCAGGCCTTGAGCCCCCAGGACTGTGGCAGGCTAGCTTGATCTCCCTCCTTCATTTTCTTGTCCTCGGCACTGGCACTGACCATCCACCGCTACTGACATTCAATTCTTTCTGACTCCTAGTGATCTTGTATAGGGTTTTCGAGACTGTCATTGTTTTAGGGAGCAGATAATATCTTTCCCCCTTGGAGGGGCTGGTGGGTTTGAACTGCCACCTTGCGGTAGCAATCCAATGCCTAACCCACAGTGCCACCAGGGCTCCTTCAGGAACCCACTGTTTTATTATTGTCAGTTTTGGTGGAGGAAGCCCAGAGCATGGCTAAGTACCCTGGCATTAGGGACTACCCTGGCATTAGGGACAGGTGTTCCTGAAATTCTCTCCTGGCCTCTGCACACAAGTTGTGACTTCACAGCTCTGAGCCGCAGTTTTCTCATCTGTGAAATGGAAATCCTAAGAGTCCCTGCATCACAAGACAGTTGTGAAGGTTTGTTGAGATTGTTTACGGAAAGCAGCAGAATAGAACACTTAGTGACTATGTCATCATCGTTGTCATTACTGTTGTTGGCAGCTGCCCCTCAAGTCAGCCCCTGACGCATGGTGGCCCCACATACTAGTACAATGGAACCCTACGGTGCCAGGTCTTGCCCCATGCCATCCCATGATAGGCTGTGGATCTGACTGTTGTAATCTATAGCGTTTTCATTGGATCCTTTGTGGAAGTAAATTGCTGGGCCTTTCCTCCTAGTCTGAAAACTCTGCTGAAACTTGTTCAGTGTCACTGTAACACACAAATCCCCATTAACAAAGACTGGCCATGGCTGTGCCTGAGTTGCATCAGCTGGAAATCAAACCCAGTCTCCTACATGGAAGACAAAAACACTACCACTGAACCACCAAAAACCCGTTCTCACTGAGTCGATTCCAACTCATATTGACCCGCCAAGTCTCATTAGGTGCAGCTATGTGTACTTGCTGATACTTGGTCACTGTTTACCAAAGGGCAATTTTTCTTGTATTATTTCATAGTTTGTTTTTATTGTTGTTGAGAATATACACAGAATATCCATCAATTCAACAATTTCTGCCTTGATATTGGTCACATTTTTGTGTGGTGCAACCATAATCGCTCTCCTTTTCCGAGTTGGTCCTTTTTCCATTCACAGAAACTCACAGTCCTCTCAGTTTCCTATCTAGTCTTGCTAGTTCTTGTTAGTTCTCATATATACCTACCGCCATCTAGTCGATTCAACTCATAGCTGTAACTCAAAGTTGTAAATCTTTGTGGGAGTAGACAGCCTCATCTTTCTCCCTTGGAGCTGCTGATGGGGTTGAACCACTGACTTTGTGGTTAGCAGTTTAATGTTTATACCACAGCCCCACCAAGGCTCCTTTGAGCCCATCTGTTGCTGCTAGGTGTCATTGAGTGGGATCCAATCCATAGCAACCCCGTGTACAACAGACCAAAATACCGCTGGGCTTACGCCATCCTCACAATTGCTGCTATGCTAAGTCCATTGCTGCTGCCACTGCACCAATCTATCTCGTTGGGAGTCTCCCTCTTTCACACCGATCTTATACTTTACCATGCAGTGATCATCTTCAGGGACTGGTCCCTCCTGATAATATGTCTGAAGTATGAGAGATGGAAGCTTGGTCACCTTGACATGTAAGGAGCAGTCTGGTTGTGCTTCTTCCAACACAGATTTGTTTTTTCTTCTAACAGTCCATTTGTTTGTTCTTCTGACAGTATCTTTAATATTCTTCTCCAACACCGTAACTCAAATGCGTCGATTCTTCTATGGTCTTCCTTATTCATTGTCCAACTTTTATATTCATTTGATGCAATTGAAAATACTGTGGCTTAGATTAGGTACACTTTAGTCCTCAAACTGGTGTCTTTGCTGTTGAACATTTTAAAGAGATCTTGTACAGCAGATTTGCTTAATGCAGTACATCATTTGATTTCTTGACTGCTGCTTCCATGAGTATTGATGGTGGATCCAAGCAAAATTAAGCCTTTGACAACTTCAATCTTTTCTCATTTATCATGACATTATTTTTTGTTCCAGTGGTGAGAAATTTTGTTTTCTTTACATTGTCTTTGATCTTCATCAGTAAGTATTTTAAGTCCTCTTTGTTTTCAGCAACCAAGGTTATACCATCTGCATGTTGTAGGTTGTTAATGAGTCTTCCTCCAATAGTGATAAAATGTTCTTATTCATATAATCCAGTTTCTCAGATTATTTGCTCAGCATACAGATTGTATAAGTATGGTGAAAGAATACAACCTTGGTGCACACCTTTCCTGATTTTGAACCATTCAGTGTCATCTTGTTCTGTGTGAACAACTGCCTCTTGGTCTATGTACATGTTCCTCATGAACACAATTAAGTGTTCTGGAAAGCTAATTCTCCACAATTTTGCCGATAGCTTCTCCTGATCTATATTTGAAAGCAAAGTCAAAGCATAGTCAAAGCAAAGGTAAACAGTTTTCTGGTATTCTCTGCTTTCAGTCAAGATCTATCTGACATCATCAATGATGTACCTCCTTCTACATCCTTGTCTGAATCCGGCTTGAACCTCCGGCAGTTCCTTGTCAATGTACTATTACAGCTGTTTTAGAATTATCTTTAGCAAAATTTCAGTTGCATTTAATATTAATGATACTGTCTGATGATTTCCACATTCTGTTGGGTCACCTCTCTTTGGAATGGACACAAATATGGATCTCTTCCAATCAGTTGGCCAGATACTGTCTTCCAAATTTCTTGGCATAGATGAGTGAGTACCTCCAGTGCTGCATCAGTTTGTTGAAAAATTTCTATTTGTATTTCATCAGTTTCTGGTGCCTTGTTCTTTGCCAATGCCTTCAATGTACCTTGGACTTCTTCCTTCAGTATCATTGGCTCTTAATCATATGCTACCTCTAGAAATGGTTGAACATTAACCATTTCTTTTTGGTACAGTGAGTCTGTGGATTCCTTCCATCTTCTTTTTATGCTTTCTGAATCATTATTTTCCCCAAAGAATCCATCAGTATTACAAGTTGAGGCTTGATTTTTTTCCCCTCAATTGTTTCAGTTTAAGAAATGCTGAGCGTGTTCGTCCCTTTTGGTTTTCTAACTTCAGATCTTTGCACATTTCATTATAATATTTGACTTTTTCCTCTTGAGCTGCCTTTGAAATTTTCTGGTCAGCTCTTTTACGGCCTCCTCATTTCCTCCATTTGCTTCAGCATCTCTGTGCTGTAGAGCAATTTTCAGTCTCTTCTGTAACATCCGTCTTAGTCTTTTCTTTCTTCTTTGTCTTCTTAATGACCTTTTGCTTTCTTCCTGTATGATGTTCTTGATGTCATCACACAACTCTTCTGGTCCTCAGTCACTGGTATCTAATTCAAGAAGTTGGTAGAATTTTTCAATTTCATCATCACTGACTTTAGTGGTTGGTATGTAAATTTGAATCATAATTGTATTAAGTGGTCTCCCTTGTAGGTGTATGGATATTATCCTATCACCGACAGCATTGTGCTTTAAGACAGATCTTGAAATGTTCTTTTTGATAATGAATACAACAACATTCCTCTTCAATTTGACATTACCAGCACAGTAAATCTTATGATAGTCGGATTCAAAATGGTCAGAACCAGTCCATTTCAGCTCACTAATGTCTGGGATATCGATGTTTATGTGTTCTAGTTCATTTTTGAGAACATTCAATTTTCCTGGATTCATAATTCATACAGTCCCATTTTCCAATCATTATTCAATGTTTGCTGCTGTTTCTGCTCATTTTTAGTTGTGCTGGGGTTACGAATGGGGCTGCAAACTGCAAGGTCAGCAGTTCGAAACTACCAGCTGTTCCACGGGAGAAAGATGAGGCTTTCTGCTCCTGTAAAGATTTACAGCCTCGGAAACCCTGTTCAGGGTCGCTATGGGTTGGAACCAACTCGACGACACTTAACAACAACAACCCATCAATAAATGAAGATCCCGGAAGCTTTACTCCATTTGCGTCATCAAGGCCAACTCTGCTTTGAAGAGGCAGCTCTCATCCAATTGTATTTTGAGTGCCTTCTAACCTGAGGGGCTCATCTTCTGGCACTCTATCTGACAATATTCTGGTGCTGTTTCAATATTCAATATTCATAAAGTTTTCAGTGGCTAATAATTCGAAAGTATCCGCCTCTCCTTCTGAGTCTGTATTAGTCTGGAATCCCAGCTTCACAGCCTGCAAGCCACCACAGTGCGACAAACTGACAGACGAATGGTGGTTGATCCCATATAAATTGATCTTAAAACCTAAGGCAATTTCATAAGGTTCAACCTAATATCACGTCATCATAGGTCATTAACCAGGACATGGAAGACAAGTTTGTTACACAACAAAGTCCCTTCTTTAAGTTCTGCATTGTTGTTTGGACTTCTGGTTGTTCTTGATGACTCAGACATCTCAGCCCTGCCACCTCCCTCCTCCACCCCTGCACACCTCCGTGGTGACGGTGTTGGAAAGAAAAGCTCTTTGGTACCTATAGTGGCTTTGCTTTAGGCAGCGTGTGGGGCTTGCTTTTCCCACTGAACCTGACTAGGAATGTGTCTCAGGCAAGGACTCCAGCAGGGAGCTGGGTCTCTCTTCCTGCCCTTTGCCCCATGTTGATTTGTACCAGAGGACTTGGCCTGTGTGCAAGACACCTGCTTTGTTCTAGGCCAGTCCTAGTGCCGGACACTCCCTGGGAGTGGCATTACCCAGGAGGCCTGTGCTTCCTTCCCACTGAGTGGACTGTGGGCCCATCAGGGCTGTCTCTGGTCAGGTGGGGTCCATCCCAAAGTCTGACAGAACCCTCATCTTCCCACAGCTGGGCCTGCTAGTTGACCTCTCCCCAGATGGCCTGATAATCCCTGAGGATGGAGTTAATGATGAGGAACTGGAGGCCGAATTCTTGGCCTTGATGGGAGGCCAGCCCCCAACCCTGGAGAAGCTCAAAGGCAAAGGTGAGCTGCTGACATACCTCCTGAATGTTTTCTGAGCTCCCTCTGTGGGCTGGCTTGGAGCTGGGTCCTGGGGAGATGACAGAGGAAGACAGATGGCCCCTGCTCTCCTGGAGCTCATTGTCCCCTTGAACGAGGGTTTGAATCCCAGCTCTACCATTTCTGGGCTGTGTGCCTTGGTGAGTCACATTACTCATAGACCTTGATTTCCCTGGCTGTAAAATGGGAATAGTAAGTGCATTTACATCACAAGCTTTAAAAAGCACTTTCCACATAGCCTGCCCATTGTTAAGCTAATGTCATCATCGGTCTGAATGTCTGAGCCCCTCAGCTATGATGAGGGCTGGAATTGGGGAGACCTGTGAATCTGACAGGACAGCAGAACTGGGGGCTTTTTCAGGAGTGGCTACAGCAGGTGCAGAGGACTGGGGTGAAGGGACCATGACAGGGGGCACGGGATAGTACAGCAATCTAATGGGACCAGAGCCAGAAGACAGGGAGTCTTTAAATACTTCAGCTCTGCTCTGCATGTTATGAAGAGGTTTACGTAGCTTTAGGCTCTACGTATCTGGAAGAGGAGCTGTTATTTCCCCATCTTAGAGACAGGAAGACTGAAGCCCTATAGCTAGAAAATTGCAGAGCCAGGGTTCAAAACCAGGTAGGCTGGCCCCAGAACTGAGGCTTTATAAGGAGGAGCTGAGGCTGTTGAGATCGGTGAGGGGGTGACACAGAAAAGCCTGAGGATAGTGGGTCGCTGTATAAGTCCCACCTGCCTGCTGCTCTGTTCTGTGGGGCCATGGGGACTGGGCTCCGGAAGAATGTGGCTCAGCCTGGGGTTCCCCTGCCGTCAGGGCCCCTCCCCATGGAGACCATTGAGAAGATGGCCAGTCTGTGCATGAGAGACCTGGATGAGGAGGAAGAGGAGGGGACTGACGAGGATGAGGTGGAAGCTGATGATGACCTGCTGGTAAGCGACGGGGAGGGACAGGGGCTTCCCCTCCCTATGCTCTGTCCAGTGGGCCCTCACGCCTCTACCTCGGTGTGTCCCTCTAGGCGGAACTGAACGAGGTCCTTGGAGAGGAGCAGAAGGCCTTGGAGTCCCAGCCTCCTTCAGCCCAGGTACAACTCCAGCAGCCCTGCCCCTCTAACCAGAACCTGTGGACAACCTGGGGTTCAAATCCTGCTCAGTCATGTGACCTTCACTAGGAAACAGGGATGATGATATCTATCCTACCGGAATTAGGGGCTGTGGCCCAGGATGGAAATGCTAGAGGTGTCACCCTGTTAATACATGGAGGGGCCAGCGGGGGTAGCCTGAGGGGGATCACATCCAGGCCTTGTGGGGTTCCTTTCATAGCCGAAGCCTTCCACCCCTGGTGCGGGGCTGGAGGCCACCCTTCAAGAGAGGCTGACCCTATACCAGACAGCCATCGAAAGCGCTCGGCAAGCTGGAGATGGTGCCAAAATGCGGCGTTATGATCGGGGCCTTAAGGTGAGTGGGCAGAGGGGTGGATGCCAGGACCCTGCCACCAGTCCTGTGCCCAGCTCCGGCTTGTCCAACCCCCACATTCACTTCTCCAGACGCTTGAAAACCTGCTGGCCTCCGTCCGGAAGGGCAACGCCATTGATGAAGGGGATATCCCACCACCTGTGGCTGTGGGAAGAAGCCTCACAGCCACACCCAGCCACACCCCCACACCCAGCCAGCTGGCCCTGGAGCCCAGGGTGACCATGCAGGGTCCTCCTCCCAATGCCCCAGCCTCATCCCCGGCCTCAACTAGTTCCCAGCTGCCCCCAGGTAGGCCTAGGGCTGGGCTGGACTGGCAGCAGGGTTGGGGTAGGATGTTCAGCTGGTAGACCCCTCAGTGGGTGTACAGCTGTAGTCTAGTGTTAAATGTCTGAACTTCCCCCTAGGTCCTCATGTCCCTGGAGTTCCAGAAGCTTCTCCAAAGGGTATGTAACGCAGGAGAGTGGTTTTTGTTTGTTGTTTTGTTTTTAGTGTTTGAATGTTTTATTTTGTTTTCAGTGACCATTTACACAACAGCTTTGGTTTCCATTTGATAGTTTCTGCACAGATTGGTCAGTGACATTAGTTATATTTGACATAATGTGTCAGCATTTTGTGTAACTTCATCCTGGCTCTTCTTTTTCCAGTTCTCTAATTTCCCTGCCCTCTTATTTATTTATTTTTTTTGCTTCAGAGTAATTGTTGCTCATATAAGGTTTTAAAAAACTTTTTATTGTAAAGTGAGTGAAGGTTTACAGACAAGATCCTCAGTTTTACGTACAGCAAATCCTACACTGTGTTTCATCTCAGTGGCTGCAAACCCTTCCGTGGAGTTATCCTGGTTCCTCCCTGTAATCCCAATTTCCTTTCCACCACCTTCCCATCCCTTCTCAATTTTGTCTGTAGGACAGTGCTGCCCTTTTGATTCTGAATGATTGACCATTCCATGGTAAGCATACCTTGCTAGTGTAGTTATCCTGCTCTGTAAACCTGTCTTCTGCTTGGCTTAAAATTGGGTCATGAGGGTAAGTCCCTTTCCAGACCATGAAGGGCTATAGTCACAGGTTCCTCTAGTCTCTTTCTGACCAGTAAAATGGGTTCTTTTTTGTTTAACAAATAATTTTGGATTTTGTTTCACATTTTATCCCGTTCTACCTGGGACCCTCGAATGTGATCCTTTTCAGGCCAGTTGGTAGTAGTAACCGGGCACTGTCTAGTTCTTCTGGTCTCCAAGTCGTGGAGATTGATGTTCACATGTTGCATTAGTCCATCGGACTAATGATTCCAAGTCCATGATTCCAAGCCTCTTTAATTCTCCTCACTCTTCTTTCTTCTGCACACGGAAAGAGCAATAGCTACACCTTAGACAGCTGCTCATGAGCTTTCAAGATCCCAGACGCTACTCACCCAAGCAGGATGTAGAACATTGTATTTGTGGATTGTGTTATGCCGATTGACCATGGTGTCCTCTGAGACTAGAGTCCTGAGCCCCCAGGCCATATGGGTGGGGCTTTTTTAGTGGATCACTTTGTTCATAAGTCATATCCTTTATTTTGTGTGCCAGTTTTTCACTAAAAGGTGACTACGGGATAGTTTCAGTTCAAGGTTTAAAGAGTATCTCAGGCCAGTAGTCTCAGGGAGTCCTCTAGTGTCCAGTGGTCCAGTAAGGACTTGTTAAGAATTTGCATTCTGTTCCATGTTTTTATCCTGCTCTATCAGGGACTCTCTGTTGTGACCCTGATCAGAACTGTCAGCAGTAGTAGCTGGGCACTGTCTAGTTCTTCTAGGTCTCAGAGTTGATGAGTCAGTGGCTTATGTAGGCTACTAGTCCTGCAGACTAGTTTCTTCTCTGCAGTTTTGGTTTCCCTCTTTTGTCTTTTGCTCCTGACCAGTAGAGACCAATGTTGGTGTTGTGTATATAGCGTTTCCAAGAGCAGCTGGTGGGTTTGAACTGCAGACCTTGAGATTAGTAAGCCAATGCTTATCCTGTAGTGCCACACCAATAGTGGTCCCTTAATGGATCTTGGCTGAAAGCAGAGAATATTAGAAAGACGTTTACCTGTGCTTTATTGACTGCAAAGACTTTCGATTGTGTGGATCATGACAAGCTATGGATAACATTACGAAGTATGAGTATTCCAGAACACTTAATTGTGCTCATGAGGAATCTACCTGGACCAAGAAGCAGTTGTTCAAACAGAACATGGGAACACTGAATGGTTTAAAATTTAAAAAGGTGTGCAACAGGGTTGTATTCTTTAACCATACTTATTCAACCTGTATGCTGAGCAAATAATATGAGAAGCTGGGTTCTATGAAAAAAAACGTGGCATCAGGATCGGAGGAAGACTCATTAACAACCTGCGATATGCAGATGACACAACCTTGCTTGCTGAAAGTGAAAAGAACTTAAAACATTTACTGATGAAGATCAAAGAGCACAGCCTTCGGTATGGATTACATCTCAACGTCAAGAAAACAAAAATCCTCATCACTGGACCAATAAACAACATTCTTTTTTTATTTTTTTTTAAATGTTTTATTGTGAATTATGTAATAGTTTACATGGGAAAATATTAGTTTTACATTCATCCTATCGTATGTCATTTCATTGCCATGGTTACAATCCCTTCCATGCATCATCAACCAACCACAGGGTATACCCTGCAAGCCTGCTCCCCTGGTCATCAGCACACAGCACCTCTCCCTCTCTGGGTCTAAAGTCAACAACATTCTTATCAACGGAGAAAAGATTGAAGTTGTCAAGGACTTCATTCTTCTTGGATCAACTATCAACACTCATGGAAGCAACAGTCAAGAAATCAAATGATGTATTGCATTAGGCTAATCTGCTGCACAAGACCTTTTTAAAGTGTTGAAGAGCAATGATGTCAGCTTGAGGACTAAGGTGTGTCTGACCCAAGCTGGACAGTGAATAAGGAAAACCGTAGAGAAATTGATGCTTTTGAGTTGTGGTGTTGGAGGAGAATATTAAGCCATGGTCTGCCAAAAGAACCAATAGATCCATTTTGGAAGAAGTGCAGTCAGAGTGCTCCTTTGAGGCCAGGATGGCCAGACTTCATCTCTCATACTTTGGACATATTGTTAGGAGGGACCTGTCACTGGAGAAGGATGTTTGGTAAGGTGGAGGGTCAGAGAAAAAGAGGAAGACCCCCAACGAAATGGATTGGCCAAGTGGCAGCATCGATGGACTCAAGTGTGGCAACAATAGTGAGGTTGGCCCAGGATCGGGCAGTGTTATGTTCTGCTGTGCATAAGGTTGTTATGGGTCGGTACTGACTCAATGGTACCTAACAACAAATGGCTGCTCTCAAGCTTTTAAGACCTCAGATGCTATTCACCTCTCTAGGATGCAGATCGTATAGTTTTCAATGAGCAATTCAGAAGTCTCAACTTTACTCCTAAATCTCACCTGCTGGAGGAAGCACCTGCCACCAGGTTTTCTTTCCCAACTTCCCCTTTTCCAGTCACCCTCCTCCTACCTTAGGGAAAGAAGGTCTGCCACATTCCCTTCTAGAACCTGAACATGAGGCTTTGCCATAGTTTCAACAATGTCCTTGTCAGGAACCAAAGAGACAACCCAAACACCGGCCTGGGGTTGAGACAGTGAGCTAATACTGGGTGTCAGAACCCTTCTGCATCCCGACCGGTTTCTAAACCATTGTTCTTGATAAAGTTCACCTAAAATCCACAGTGGAAATCACCAAAATGTTATCTCAATGGGGATTTGAGCAGAGGGCTCGGTAGGGGTTCCCATAATGAGACTTGTGCGCCATTCTCACCTGCTTGTGGGTGTGAACTGGGATTCTCAACACTTTATAAAGGCAAGTAGAAAAAGAGCTGAAGGATGGTACTGAACTTGGTGTGGGGAGGACACAGCCCCAGTCGGTGCACGAGGTGCATTGTCAGTAACAGTCTGGATATGTACAAATTCTTTATCAGCAAATTTGATAAGCTGTTTAGGTTTTGCTCAGTTACATGCTAATAACAATTGTAGTGATGATTCAGCCTAGAAAAGATTTTATTTTTAAAAAACACAACACCCACAAACGGGAGCTTTACAGTCACAGTAAGTAAAAACAGTTACACATCAAGGTACTTTTCTTCAACTTCCAAACACCTCTTCGGGAAAGTCCATCTAAATGTAAAACAATAGGTCCAGTTGTCAATCTGAAAACGTTCCGTATAGATACTGTGTTCTGGGTGTTTCTAGACTTTGTGGTCCAAGGCGGAAGTCGGGGGTAAGTGTATAGTTACCATACTTTGTCTTTTTAGACTAACAATTGCGCCTAACATCACCTTAAATGAGATGTTGCTTTTGCTGTGTGCTGTCAAGCCAGTTCCAACTTATAACAAACTCTGTAGGGCCTCTGAAGGAGCTCTGGTAGCGTAGCGGTTACGAATCGGGCTGCGAACCTTAAGGTCAGTGGTTCGAAACTACCAGCCACTCCACGGGAGAAAGATTAGGCTTTCTACTCCCGTAAGGATTTACACCCTCGGAAACCCTGTACAGGGTCGCTATGGGTCGGAACCGACTCAACGGCAATTAACAACAACAACAACATAGGGTCTCTGAGGCTGTAAATCTTTATGGGAGCAGAAAGCTTCATTTTTCTCCCACAGAGCAACTGGTGGATTCTAACTCCTTTCAGTTAGCAGCCCAACACATAAACCCCTACACCACTAGGCTTCCTAAATGTAGAGATGTTGTTGTTGTTGTCAGGTGCCATCGAGTCGGAACCGACTCATAGCGACTCCATGCACAGCAGAACGAAACAATGTTCGATCCTGGGCCAACCTCACCACCGCTGCCACCCCCGAGTCCATCAATGATGCCACCTGGCCGATCCATCTCGTTGGATACTCTCCCTCAAAAGCATATTGAGCATAATAACTTGAAAATGTAACTAACATACTCGTTAAAAATCACTTCATCCAGTGTTTCTCAACTTTGCAGACACACAGACACACTGCATGAATGTAGTTTGGTAGCACAAATGTACAGTGTTGTTCCTGTTATGTGTTGTCAGGTCAGTTCCAGCTCATACATAGCAACCCTGTGCACAACACTGCCTGGCCTGTGCCGTCCTCACAATTATTGTTCTGCTTGATTCTGTGTCAGTCCATCTTCTTGGGGGTCTTCCTCTTTTTCACTGACCCTCCACTTTCCAAGCATGATGGCCTTCACCAGGGATAGGTCCCTCTTGGTAACAAAATAGGAGAGATGAAGTCTCTCTCTCCATCCTGGCTTCTAAGAAGCATTTGTCTGTACTTCTTCCAACACAGACTGGTTTGTTCTTTTGATGGCCCATGGTACTTTTAATATTCTTCTCCAACACCAGAACTCAAATGCATCAATTCTTCTACTGTTTTCCTTATTCATGGTCCAACTTTCACATGCATATGAGGCTATTGAAAATACCATGGTTTGGGTCAGGTGCACTTTAGTGCGAAAACTGATTATCTTTGTTCTTGAACAATTAAAAAGGCCTTTTGCAGGGGATTTGCCTGTGCAATACGTCATTGATTTCTTGGCTGTTGCTTCCATGAGCATGGATTGTGGATCCAAGCAAAGTGAAGTCTCTGACCACATCAGTGTTTTCTCCACTTAGCCATGATGTTAGTTACTGGTCCATTTGTAAGAATTTTTGTGTTCTTTATATTGAGCTGCAATCCATACTGAAGGATTTACTGATCTTAGTAAATACTTCAAGTTCTTGTTGCTAAATATACAATGTTGTTGTTGTTAGGTGCCATCAAGTCAGTACTGACTCATAGTGACCCTATGCACAACAGAACGAAACACTGCCCAGTCCTGGGCCAACTTCACAATTGTTGCCACGCTTGAGCCCATTGATGCTACCACTTGGCCAATCCATCTCACTGGGGGTCTTCCTCTTTTTCTCTGACCCTCCACCTTACCAAACATGATATCCTTCTCCAGCGACTGGTCCCTCCTGACAATATGTCCAAAGTATGAGAGATGAAATTTGGCCATCCTGGCCTCCAAGGAGCACTCTGGCTGCACTTCTTCCAACACAGATCTGTTTGTTCTTTTGGCAGCCCATGGTACTTTCCATATTCTCCTCCAACACCATAACTCAATTGGGTGGTCAAAAAGAAGACTTTCAAGTGTACAAATAGGTTAGGAAAAAATTCTGTGAGGGACATGGATGGAAATAAAAGTTCAAAGAGAAACAGATGTGGCACTCTTGCCTGCTGCAGTAAGCTCATGGATAGATTTTTAAATGTGTTGGTGAGTTTCAAGTCACCACAGTAGTTTAAAAGAGTGGCTTTCTTCTCCAAATGTGACAGAGTGCATTAAGCGTTAGGCTGTAAGTTGCACAGTTGGTTTGAACCTACCAGCTGCTCTCCTGGAGAAAGGTGAGGTTGTGTGCTCCCATAAAGATTTACAGTCTCAGAAACCCTAAGAAACATTTCTACCCTGTCCTATAGGATCACTATGAGTTGAAATTGACTCGATGGCAGTGGTTTCTTTTGGGTTGGGATGACTACCTTTCCCACTTTTTATATTTAGGATGAAAATATTTAGATGTCAAGGGGGCGTAAAGTTTCCCATAGTTCTCTTGGGGGCAAGACAGTAGTGGCTCCGTAGTCAGCCAGGTCAGAAGTTGAATCCCAGCTCTGCCATTTTCAAGCTGTGTGACCTTGGGGAAGCAAGCTTCTCTGTCTGAGCCTCAGTTGTTTCGTCTGTAAAATGGGCCTAAGTACAGTCTCGTTGGAAGAATGAAGTACAAATGGCCCAGCCTCCACAACCTCCTCTCTCCCCATGCAGGTCCCTGCAGCCCTGGCCTCCTGGCCCAATTGCAGAGCCGGCAGCATGAGTATAAGCTGGCTGCTCTTCAGTCCAAACAGCAAGGAGATACTGCCTCCGCTGCCCGGTATTTCCGCGTGGCCAAGGTGCGTCCAGACTGATGGACAGGATTGGAGGGAGAGGGTAGGATGGTTCCATCAGTGGGTGATCATGAAGAACATGGGCTCTAGAATTAGACCCAAGTTTGCATGCTGATTGGATCACTTTCCAGCTGTGGTTTGCTATGCTTCTTGGAGCCTCAGTTTACTCACTCTGTGAAATGGTCATCAGTCTCAGAAAAGGAGTGAGGGAGATTATGCAAAGGAGGGACACCCTCTCCAGCTGAGCCTCCTCCTCTAACTTTGTGCTTCCTTCTCCTAGAGCTTTGATGCTGTCTTGGAGGCCCTGAGCCGAGGGGAGCCTGTGGACCTGTCCCGCTTGCCCCCTCCCCCTGGTGAGGACCCTGCCTTGCCCACTTTCCAGGCCCTCACAAAATTCTTCCTGATGCTGCTGCCTCTGTTGGTCAGGCTCAGGGACTCCCATGGGTCAGACTGTCCTGGAGGGGGATGTCAACAAAGCCCCTGATTGGTCCTCTGTGTCCCCAGACCAGCTGCCTGCAGATTCACCATTGCTCCCTTCACAGCCTCCAACTCCTCCCACGGCACCCTCCACACCAGGTAAGCTCGCTGGATTTTCTGGGGTGGGCTGGCTTGGACAGCAGCATCTCCCCTTCCTGGACTCTTAACCCTGCCTCCTGGCTTGGCCCAGATGTGCCTCCACCTCCGAGGACCCTCCTGGAGGCGCTGGAGCAACGGATGGAGCGATATCGCGTGGCTGCAGCCCAGGCCAAGGCCAAGGGGGACCAGCGGAAGGCCCGCATGCATGAGCGCATCATCAAGGTGAGTGGGGGCCAGAGGGTGAGGAGGCGACCCCTGGGTACCTAGCCTGGGTAGTCTAACTCGTGTGTCCCTGCAGCAATACCAAGATGCTATCCGAGCCCACAAGGCTGGCCGTGCTGTGGAGGTGTCAGAACTGCCAGTGCCCCCAGGTGGGTCCCACACAGCTCCCTCCCCTCAGCCTCAGAGCCCTTGCAGAAGCTGTTCTTACTGTGCTGGCTTGGGGAGCTGATTGGTACACAGGGATTTTTGCAACCTGGTGTCTGAAATCAGTCATGGTGGGAGTATTTACACCCTGGAAACTGGCACACACAAAAATCAAGGCCATCTGTTGGGGAGTGGGTTCACCAGCTCACCTCGGATCGTCCTAAACTTTCATCTTTGCTTGACTCCCTGTTCTGAGCCATCAGGGCTCAATTTAACTGACCCTTCCCAGCCCGCCATGAGTCGAGGCTGCTTTTGGGGGTCTCAGAGCTGCCCACAAGAGCAGCAGCCTCTGAGTCCTGATCATCTCTTAGCCCCTCCAGTTCTAGGCCCGGCACTGATGATTCATCAGACACGTCTAGTCAAGGCCTGGGGTCCTAATGAAAGATGCTAAGAGACTGAATGAGGTTGGGAACAGCCTGGTACCCACACGGGACCAGTGACAGCTACTTACTCACATTCAAGTAGAATTCGAGATCTGAGGCACCTCACACGGGAGGCACCCATGTCTTGCCATGGATACCTGGGTACCTAGCTTCTGACTGGGTCCTGTCCTGCCGTCCAGGCTTTCCCCCTATCCAGGGTCTGGAGGCCACTGATCCCACCCAGCAGAGTCTGGTGGGTGTCTTGGAGACTGCCATGAAGCTGGCTAATCAGGATGAAGGCACTGAAGATGAAGAGGATGAGGAACCTAGGAAGGTGTGAGGGGCAGGAGTTTTGGGGTGAGGCCAGGGAGGGGCAGCCAGGCTGAGTTCTGAGAGTCCTGCCACTTGCAGCCTGTGTGGTTCAGCCCAGTCGTCCTCTCTGAGCCTCAGTCTCCTCATCTGTCCAGTGCGGATGACCATAGCTCCTTCCTCCCATGGCTGTTGCAGATTCAGTGAGAATAGGGACATTGTGTGAAGTGCTGAGGAGACAGAAAGCAAGGTGGCCACTGGTTTTGTTTGTTTTAACTTTTCACTGGGAACTTGGGTGAAGGATTACAGAGCCCATCCGTTTTCCATGTAACAATTCATACACATGTTGTTTCATCCCATTGACTGCAACCTCCTCAGTGTAATGTCATGTGTCCCACTTACTCCTCTTGTTTTCTGTTTCCATTCTTCTTTCTTTCCTAACCCTTGTGAACATTGTCCTTGGGTAAATGCTGCCCTTTTGAGTGGTGGCGGATCCTGGGATTTAGGGTATGAGCTCTGGGAAGGCTCTGACATCCTCTCTATCCCTCCGAAGCCCACCAGCCCTGCGACCTCCACAGCCCAGCCCAAGGCTCCACCCTCAAGGGCACCAGCATCAGGATCAGCCCCAGCAGCCAAAGCAGCCTCCAAAGGCACATCCACCAGAGGTAGGTGTGCCCTCCTTGCTCTTGTTGCCTGTTGCCCAGCCATGGACCAGGCAGGACCTGAAGCCACCCCTGTACTCACAGCCCAGCAGCAGTTGGCCTTCCTGGAGAACCGCAAGAAGCAGCTCCTGCAGGCTGCGCTGCGAGCCAAGCAGAAGAATGACGTGGAGGGTGCCAAGATGCACCTGCGCCAGGCTAAGGGACTGGAGCCCATGCTGGAGGCCTCACGCAATGGGCTGCCTGTGGACATCGCCAAGGTGAAGCCTCTAGGACCACTACTCAGGCACCCACCATTCACACTCTGGCCAGTAAACAGCCATGTGACCTGGAGTCCAGGTCCAGACTAAGCTGCTGTACCAAATAGGCCTCCCAAGAAACACTCAGGGCCCTCCAAGGCCCAGGCATCTTTCATCCTGTTGCTCGCCTCTCTAGACAAGTTGTTACCCTTGTCCACACGGTTAAAGCAGATCACTGCCTTGTCTGCATCTAGCCTGTGGGAAGGGGTAGGAGAAAAAGGTAGGGCAAGCAGTTTCTTTTAATAACATGGATTTGTCATCACTTCTGGTCACCTACTATTGATCAGAACTGAACCACATGGCTACACCTAGGTGCAAGGGAGGCTGGGACATGTAGTTTCTTGTTTGTTTTCCAAGTGCCCAGATTTTATTACTAGAGAAGGGTGGGGGTGGGGGTCAGATTTGTAGTAGACAGTTAACAGTTGCTGCCGTGGACAGGACCATTCGTTTCTTATGAGTCTCGGTTGGTGTAATGGAGCAGCATCCACGTTAGGAAATATTTATGGAACACTGACTGCGTGTCTGGCCTGGGCAATGAGAATAGAGTCAGAAAAAAAAAGTAACAAACTAGACAGTGCCCCTACCCTTGTGGAGTGGGAGATAGCAAGAAATAAAACTCCTCAGCATGACCTACAAGGCCCTGTGCCAACTGCCCTGTCACCTCCCGGCCCTCACCTCCTCCACTCACACTCTCACTTCCTTCCTGCCAGCTGTGTGGCTTCCTCAATGTCCCCAAACACCAGGCACTCTCCAGCCTCAGGGCCTTGGCACCTGCTGCTCCCTCTGCCCAAAATGCTTCCTCATCTACCCCCATCTCTGTCTTGCTTGCAGACTCCCACCCCTCTTTAGGTCTCAAATGTCATCTACTTGGAGGCCTACTCTGACCTCTCAAAATCCTTCCCTTTAATCTGGAACTCCTGGAGTCCTGATATAGCACTGTAGGATAAGCACTGGATCACAAGATTGGTTTGAACCACAAGGTCAGTGGTTCAAATTCACCAACCGCTCCTCAGAAACCCTATATAAGGTCGCTATGAGTTGGAACCGACGTCACAGCACTTAACAACAATAGCAACAAATCTTTTATGAGGTCCTTGGTGGTACACAGTTTGCTCTTGACCACTAACCTAAAGATTGGCCGTTCAAACCCACTGTAGATTACAGCCAAAGAAATCCTCTGGAGCTCAGTTCTACCCTGTAAGACACACAGTCACCATGAGTTGGAGTCTCTACTTGGGGTTTTTTATTGTTTTGTTTTTACTATTGCATATAATAATATTACTATGGGTCGGACCCGACTCGATGGCACTTAACAACAACAACAACAATAATATTGTATATTGCGCTTTTTCCTAAAAAGAACTTGGCCCCCTCAAGGTCAGGGCTGCTTGTCTCTCTTTCATGCTAAATCCCTAGCTCCAGAACAGGGCTTGGCACCCAGGAGGGGCTCCACCCATGACTTCTTGGGTGACTGGAGGATCTTAGTGTGTCGAGTGGTGGGATGTGGCAAATGTAAGGAATAGAATCAGACAACAGGGGTACCTAGGGGGCCTTCACCAAGGAGAAGTGGTGTGTCCCCAAGTCCTGTGGTGGCCTCATGAGCCTTGTCCTTCCCAGGTGCCGCCTGCCCCAGTCAACAAGGATGACTTTGCCTTGGTCCAGCGGCCAGGCCCAGGGCTGTCTCAGGAGGCCGTCCGGCGCTACGGTGAACTCACCAAGCTGATACGGCAGCAACATGAGGTTAGCAGGATGCCCAGCCTTGCTCAACCGGCCCCCACTAGGGACACAGCCCTTCAGGCCTCCCCTTACTGTCTTCTGTTCCCCCAGATGTGCCTAAACCACTCTAACCAGTTCACCCACCTGGGCAACATCGCTGAGACCAGCAAGTGAGTGTCCCCCACCCCACCTCCACCAATGATTTCATCCCAGCCTGCCCCGCCCAGGAGCAGGGAGCCTGAGCAGGGCCCTCTGGCTGGCAGGTTTGAGAAGCTGGCGGAAGACTGTAAGCGGAGCATGGAGACTCTGAAGCAGGCCTTTGCCCGGGGTCTCTCCACACCTGCTGCTCGCTTTGAGCAGAGGACCTTCAGCGTCATCAAGTAAGGCTCTCACACTCACGGGCTGCTGTACCTGAAGAAGGGAGCAGAGTTAGGGTGGGTGGAGGGAGCACAGCACACGCAAGTGTCCTGAGGCAGGCATGAAGCGGGAGGTGAAGGCTGGCCAGGAGACACTCACAGAGTCATGTTTGAAAACAGGGAAGATGCAGTGTGTACCAGGATGTGCTGAGTCCCAGGGGCCTGGGGAGCCAATGAGAGAGCAGAATTGTGGTCTAGTAATGGTTGTAGGTTGTGCTTTTTGTATCAGGGTTGTTCACAGATACAAACCAATAGGACACACACACACACACACACACACACACACACATATATATAGTGAGAGAGAGAGATAGGTGTGTATTCTGATGTAAAGTGTGTATGTGTTTGGCAAGTTCTAAATCTATAGGTCACAGGCAACAGACTGGAAACTTGACAGTCTTGTGTCTGAAAGCAGTATGCGAAGGAGCAGGTGGGAAACTCTGACAGGTTGTCTATGTGACCGTCTTGAGACAGAATCCTTCTCCCTTGGGAAATCTCCATTCATGGTTGTCAGGCTTTCGGTTGGTGGGGTGAGGCCCATCGTAACCAAGGGTAAATCTCCATCATTCATGTTAGCCGAAGGTCAGTTTTAATCACGGAGCAGAGCCCGACCGACACCTGTCGTTACCCCTCACACTCTTGTTAAGTCTTCCCCACATTCTCAGGAGGTGGATCATGTGTCCCACTCTTCCTAAGCTGGGGTGCGGCCACTTGCCTTCCAGTGGTAGCCTGCTACACTAGAATAACTACACCCCTACTCTGGTCGCCCAGGAGCTGTAGTAGTATAGTGGTTATGAATTGGGCTGCTAAACTCAAGGTCAGCAGTTCGAAACTACCAGCTGTTCCAAGGAAGAAAGATGAGACTTTCTGCTCCTGTAAAGATTTACAGCCTCGGAAATCCTGTACAGGGTTGCTATGAGTCGGAACCGACTCCACGGCACATAACCACCACCACCACCACTCTGGTGCCCCACATCCACCAGGCCTGGTTCCCGACACCTCATCTTCCTACACTACCCTCACTTCATATGGCTCCAGCCATGTGCAGGCATGTTCCCACATTAGGGCCTCGGTACCCATTGTCTGCTCTGCCCAGACTCCCTTCCCTGGTTCTTTTCTGGCACCTCAGATGTCACCCCTCAAAGAGGCCCTCCCGACTGCCCCCTCCCAGGCAGCTTCTCCTGAGCATGTGCCATCCAGTCGTTCTCTGTAGAGGTGCCCATGACGACTGAGTCTTTGTGTTCACTGGTCATCTAGCCACTTGGCCAGCATGTCTCATTTATTTCTACACCTCCACCTGTGAGGACCCTGGCTGGCACATAGGAAGGGCAGGTACCCCGACGGTGAGGGCACAAGTTGTCACATAGTAGGTACCAAACAACTACGTACAGACTGAAGAAAGGACTCAAAATACAGCCACGAGTGAGACTGAACAGAGGCCCTCTACTGAGACACCCCCAGAAGCCAGAGGTGTCTTTACCTTGAGAGTAAAGAAGGTGGGTGGGCGGCTGGGCTGAGGTACCTCTGTCTCCCCACCTGCCTGCCCGGAAGGATCTTCCCCGACCTCAGCAGCAATGACATGCTCCTGTTCATCGTGAAGGGCATCAACCTGCCCACACCCCCAGGTGAGGGGGTGGCTGGCTGGGGTCAGGGCCGGGGGGACCACTGCTCTGCCTAGCTCTGAGCCTTGTTTGTCCACAGGCCTTTCCCCTGGGGACCTGGATGTTTTTGTTCGGTTTGACTTTCCCTATCCCAATGTGGTACGTGGGGAGCTAAGAAATGGAGGACTTGAGTCCCAGTTGGTTGGGTGGAGTGTTGGGCAGGGGTCCGTGGCTCAGACCCCAGACCCCTGAGCTGTTCTATATCCTATCTGGTCACAGGAGGATGCTCAGAAAGACAAGACCAGTGTGATCAAGAACACAGATTCCCCAGGTAAGCCGAGGCAAGAGCCCCCCTAGGCCTTAGAGAGCCCGAGATTTCACCTGACCTGTCCCCAGCTTCCTCTCCTCTCTCTTTCCCTGGACAGAGTTCAAGGAGCAGTTCAAGCTCAGTATCAACCGTAGCCACCGTGGCTTCAGAAGGGCCATCCAGACCAAAGGCATCAAGTTTGAAGTGGTCCACAAGGGGTGAGCTGGAGCCTCAGGCACTGGGTGGGCGCTAGGAAAGGGGGAGCTGCTCTGGGCCAGCCAACCTGTCCCCCCACACACAGGGGGCTGTTCAAGAATGACCGGGTCCTGGGCACAGCCCAGCTGAAGCTGGACACCCTGGAGACAGCATGCGAGGTCCGGGAGATCCTGGAGGTACGAGGTGTTCATTCATCAGACAACTGCCTGGAGTCTTCCTCAAAGACCTTTCACTGGGAGCCCCAGGCCACCCCATGCCCATCACCAAACACTCTCTAACACTCTCTCTACTCTATTCCAGCCGTTGTCCTAAATATTAGACGTGATTGTTGTTAAGTGCTGTCAAGTCGGTTCTAACTCATAGCAACCCTGTAGAGGGTTTCCAAGGAGTGACTGGTGAGCTGGAACCACCAACCTTGAGGTCCAGCACATTAACCCACAGCGCCACACCCTTGGGGGGTCATAATTTGGAAATCTGCTTGGTTTTCCCTGCTCCTGACCTGGGGCCTGCTTCCCTACCACCGACTTCCCTTGGCCTTCACCTAGGTTCTAGATGGACGCCGGCCGACTGGGGGGCGGCTAGAGGTGATGGTCCGAATTCGGGAACCACTGACAGCCCAGCAATTGGAGACGACAACTGAGAGGTGGCTCGTCATCGACCCTGTGCCAGTAGCTGTGCCCACGGTGAGACCACTGCCCATCGTGCAGCCCATGGAGGGAAGCTTGGTTCTAAGGGGCCAGGACTCATGGGACTCTGTCCCCTGAAGCAGGTCACTGGACCCAAAGGGAAGGCCCCTCCTGTGCCTGCCCCTTCGAGGGAGCCAGGAAACAGGTAGGTGGATGAGGATATACTGGAGAGAACCTCTTTGGCCTGGCTCAGCTCCACCGGGCACAAGTTTGGACCATGTCCCTTCCAAACCTCTCCTGGGTCCCTTTCTCCTTGAGAATTCAGTTTAAACTTCTCAGCCTTGCCTTTAAGACCCTTTGTGGTATGACCATCATCCACCTGGCCAGCATTTCCTCTCAGCACTCCGCCTGCTGGTTCATTGACACGCCGCAATTTCACTGGCCTCTGGAGCAACCCATCTCCCCATCCTTTCCCCTCTTTCTGTGACCAACTCTCACTCATCCTTTGGGTCCTAACTTGGTTGTTCCTCCTCCAGGAAGCTCCCCCAGGCTAGTCTGTCCTAGGCTTGACAACCAGGCATCTCAGCTCATAGCTGCCTGGGCGTGTGACCCTCTTGCCCACTAGGTTGTGGGATCCACAAGCATTGGGGTGGCCTGACTTGCTTCCTGCAGTATCCCCAGTGCTTTGCTTGTCTTTGATTTCATGGGGTTGGAAGGGGAGACCCCTGCAGCCCCTCATGCCACACCCATCCCGCAGACCCACCCGGCCCCTACACAGCCTCAGTGTGCTGGCCTTTGACCAAGAGCGTCTGGAGCGGAAGGTGGGTACTTGCTCTGCTAAGCTCTTTGGAGTGGAGTTGGGGGGTCTGCAGGCCCAGGCCGGACCCTCACAACCCCCTGTGCACCTCCAGATCCTTGCCCTCAGGCAGGCGCGGCGGCCAGTGCCACCTGAGGTGGCCCAGCAGTACCAGGACATTGTGCAGCGCAGCCAGTGGCAGAGGGCCCAGCTGGAGCAGGGAGGCGTGGGCATTCGTCGAGGTAGGGGCTCCGGCAGGCATGGTGGGGTGGGGGCCAGGGTGGGAGAGCTGAGCACCATTGATCTGTCAGTTGGGCACATCGGGGGAGGAGTGGACTCCAGACTTCCTTGATCCCTCTCTACCTACAGAGTACGCTGTCCAGCTGGAGCGGCAGCTGCAGTTCTATACAGAGGCTGCCCGACGTCTGGGCAACGACGGCAGCAGGGTGAGGCAAGGTGGGCGGACAGGACCCAGTGGGTGTGGGATCGGGCTGTCTGAGCACAGGCTGACTCCCTGACCCCACAGGATGCTGCAAAGGAGGCTCTCTACAGGAGGAACCTGGTGGAGAACGAGGTGAGGCTCAGGTGGTCCAGTGGGGGCTGTGGATAGGTCCACCTTCTCTGACCCTCTCTGACCTTGTCCCCCAGCTGCAGCGGCTCCGAAGGTGAGGAGCCGCCGGGTGGGTGGCCTCAGCCTAGGGAGCCGCCCGGCAGTGGGAGTAGCTGAGCGTGACCCAGATGGAGTGAGCAGACAATCAGCTGACAATCAGCTCTCGGGACATGGATGCGAGACTGTCCCCTTCTGTGCCGACCCAGGCCCAGCTGGCAGAACCTCCCTGGCATGGTGTTGGGATGAAGCCCAGTCAGCTTGGCCCAGCTGCTGGCACCCTTGGGCCAGTCCTGTCTGGGTGGGTCCTGGAGAGGCCCATTTGCACAGCTCTGGGTTGCCTGGGCCCTGGCCTGCCCTGATGTGGGAAATGGCAGGACCAATCCTGGGGGCCCCTCCAAGCACTTTACTCCCTGTCCCTTCCCTGCCTTAACCCTCTGAAACCTGCCCACACCCCAAAGAAGCCTCCGAGATCGCCTGAGCCCCGGCTGACTGCCCTGGCCCAGTCAGGCCCCCAGGACCAGCCCTCGGAATAAATGGCTAGGGCCACACCCAGTCCAGCCGTCTCTTGTCTTTATTCCTGACCCATGTGCCTGCTGTAACTCAGTCTGCCACCGGGGTCTGTGGTCTCTGTCTTTGCAGCGGCTGGCCTTGGGCACATCTGGGCTTACACATTTGCAAGGTGGCATGTAAGACCTCTAAGTTGTGCAGTTTTTACTTGGTTTCTCATTGAAAGGTTAGTTCAAACCTATCCAGCAGCATTGAGGAAGAAAGGCGTGGCGATCTGCTGCCATAAGGATTACAGCCAAGACCTCATAGAGCAGCTACAGTCACACATGGGGTCAGCAGGCGCTGGGACTGACTAGATGGCAGTAGGTTTTGCATGTGGTGGTGCCACAGGATGACCTGGGCCAGGCCAGCCCATGGGGACCCCGAGGCTTTTGTATATGGATGGATTAGAACAAAATGCACCCACTAAACTCAGATTCGAGCTTTGACACTCATTGGCTGCAGGGACGGAAACAGATTATCTAACTTACAGATACCCCAGAGCCTCAGTTTCCCCAGGGCACCCAAGGCTGGCAAGGGTTCTGTTGAGCCAGAAGGGTGTCTGGTCCATGTGAACACCCCAAAGACTTAGGCTTTATTGTCATTGTGTCCGTCTGTGTGGGGTAAAGGGGGTGCACTCCTGAAGTGAGTGAATGTGTGAGAGGGGGCACCCATCAGTCTCTGAGGCTTGGGGAGTAGACAGAGGTCTTTGGTGGGCCTTGTGTTGTCAGTCCACAGCTCAGGGGCCACCTGCCCGCGGTTGATGTGGGGTTGTGGGCTGTAGGCGGACAAGGACCTGCTCTGGGTTACCCGCTGTGTCTACCACGCGAAGCTGTGGGAGCCCCAGGAAGGCCTCTGGTGCAATGCTGGTCATATGAAGCCTGTTGGCCCTGAACAGATAGGACAGAGGCAGGTGAGAGGACTGGACAGACCCCACCCCCAGTGACCTTGCAGGCCCTCCCCTGCCCAGCTAGCTGCCTGGGCACCTGAGGAAGAGGGCACGAAGGTGCGGCGTGCTGGTGAAGGCCTCAGGGCCCACATGGCTGATGCGGTTGGCCTGTAGGTGTAGCTCTTCCAGGGCTTCGGGCAGGTCCGGCGGCATGAAGGACAGCTGGTTGTGGCTGAGGTCCAACACCTGACAGGGAGGCAAGAGGGCACATGGTGGCCCCAGGCCTCTCCTCGAGGGCCCTCCCCAGCCCAGTCTCCGAACCCCTTTCCTCTGCCCCCCTTGGTGATTGCCTTGTCCCTCCTGGGGCACAACCAGAGGGCTGCCCAGTGTGGGAGTCATTGTGAGACTGTGCCTCTTCATGTCATCAGTGTTTTATCCAGTTCCTAACGGGGCAGGACCTATGCCCAGCAGCTCTGTGGGGCTAAGCCGAGGCCTGGTGCCAGAGAAGTGCTAGGATTCCGTGGACTTGACAGGCTGTTGTAACTTGACCACCATCTGGTCGTAAGAAGCTAGAAGTATCCACAGGGGAACGGTCTCAGGGACATTGTGGGCAAAGGCCTGGAGATGAGGGCTGACACCTAGGAGAACTGCTCAGTGACCTGGCAAGGCCTTGGAGTTTCAGGGGTCTGGGCAGGTAGAGGGGCTGCGTGCAGTGTTCCTACTACCATCCTGACCTTGAGGGCTTGCAGCTCATGCCAGGTGCCTGGACCGATGTTGCCGACCTGGAGCTGATTGTGGGCCAGGCTGAGTTCCTGCAGCTGAACCAGCCCTGCCAGCTGCTCAGGCTCTAGGGCCCGTAGCTGGTTGCGCTGCAGCCGCAGGATGTGGATGCTGGAGGGCAGACCGGAGGGCAGCCGTGTCAGCTGGTTGCCCGCCAGGTCGAGGCTGCGAAGGGCACGAAGAGGGCGGAAGGCCCGGCGGTGGACACGGGAGCTGACCAGGCGATTGTAGGCCAAGTTGAGATCAGTCAGACCCCGCATGGCGGCCAGGTCATGAGCACCCAGCAGGGTCACTTGGTTGTGGGGCAGTACCAGGGCCCTCAGGCGGCGAGGCAATGCCAGGGGTACACGGTCCAGCCTGTTGCCATAGAGATGCAACGTGTGCAGGCGCCGCAGGGGCCGCAGAGCTCCAGGGGAGAGCCCCGTGCCCCCCAGCTGGTTGTGCTGTAGCAGCAGGTATCGCAGGCCCTGAGCCCCCTGCAGCCGGGCCCCCTCCACCCGCTGGATGCGGTTACGGCCCAGGTGCAGGATGGCCAGTGTTCGGGGTAGACCGGCAGGCACTTCAGCCAGCTGGTTGTGGGACAGGTCTAGATACTCAAGGCTGGACAGCTTGCTGGTGGGAGAGAGGGCCAGGTTTCAGACTGAGCACCTAGAAGTGGGGACCTGGCTGGGTCTCCTGGAGGCTGCGTTGAGGGGGGTTCCTAAAACAGATCTAAGCTTGTCAGCTTGGGGGTGACTCTAGATGTGGGTGAGAGACACACATGTGAGTTACATGTGAGGGTGACCAGGACATTCTGAAGACCACGTCACAGAGTGGTTGGGAGTAAAGACACTGCCAGGTGCTCATCAGAGTCTGGCACACAAGCAGTCAGGCAGGAGGGAGACAACTCAGGATCCTCGCCTCCCGCTCACCCCAGGCCCCACCTGAAAGTAGTGCCATCCAGGCCGCTGTCAGTCAGCCGGTTGTGTTGGAGGTAGAGCTCACGGAGCTGGGTCTGGCGGCTTAGCGCTCCCCGGGGCACCTTGGAGATGAGGTTGTTCTGGGGAATAGGGATGAGAATGAGACTGAGGAGCCAAGACAGAGGATGTTTGGGAGCTATGGAAGGCTCTAGAGTGAGGGAGTGATGAGCTTGCCTTGAGGAAGATTCTTAATGGAAATGATGGAAGGAAGAGTAATTCTGACTACCGGAATACCAGGGGATGATCAGAAGGCTTGTGAGGAACAAGTGAAGAGGTGGAGGGAATGCCAGGCAAGGCTGGAAAAAAGAGACAGCCAAGGGCGAGATGAAGGAGTGGATGTGGGGATGGATCATGAGCAATCTGAGTTGGAAATTCAGGCCTGGCTTCTGTCATTTCATTCATTTTGCACTAATAAAATGTTGAGCATGCCTGCAAGTTACTGTCATGGGTCTGACTCCCGGCCCTGGGAATGGAGGGGAGGGAAGTGTGGGGAGAGCCCCCAGGGTCACACCTGTAGGTGGAGTCGCTCCAGTGAGGGTGGCAGGCTGGGCGGCAGGTAGCTGAGTCGATTGCTGGAGAGGCTGAGGGTGGTGACGGCATCAGAGCCTCGGAAGGCATTGGGGGGCAGGCCTGAGTTGCTCAGCTCATTGTTGTGGAGGTACACGGATCTGAGGGGAGCATTACCTGACTACCTTCACCTCCCACTACCCTCACTCCTGTCCTTGATCCAGCCCAGAGCTCCCCTCAGGGTGTGCGAGTGTGTGTGCCCTCTCCTCCTCAGGCTGGAGTTCTCCAGGACAGTTTATCAGACTGTCTCTCCCCTCACACTCCAAGGGTAGGATTCCCCTCAGACACCTAGGGTGGGGCCGTGCCCCCTTAGACCCCTGGGCAGGGCTCCCACAGACCCTTAGGGAAAGACTCCCCTCAGATTCTCAGGGCAGGGCCCCCTAGGATGGGGTCATGAGCCCAGACTGTCTGCAGCCTGGGTTCCTAGGCTGGGCCAGGGGCTACCTGAGCACCGGCTTCTCCCCAAAGGTGAGTGGGAAGATCTCTGTCACTTGGTTGGCAGCCAGATCCGCGACACGGAGCGAGCGGGGCAGAAACTGAGGGGCCACTGATAGCTGTAGGAGAACAGCCCCCACAGGTCACGCTGCGTGACCCCAGGCCAGCCTGTACCCCTGCTGGGCTTGCACTGGGGGATGGAGGAGCTTACCTTGTTGTTGGCAACATAGATGTGCTGTAGCTGGGTGAGGGACTCGAAGGCCTCGTCCGGAAGGCCTGGAGGTAGGGGCCTGTGTGGAACCCTGGGCTTGGGGGACCACAGGACACCCCACTGTTCCCAGTTGTCCCAAGGCTCTGCTAAAGGCGGTCCAAGGCTGCTCTGTGCATTCCCAGTCTACCCCCCTAGTCCCTATTCAAAACCCACAGCCCCCCTCCTTCCACTCCCTACCCCCCCACCCCCAGCCCCTGAGTTTCCACCCTACTCAGCAAAGGGCACTTCTGGGAAGTCAGCCACAGAGCTGCCCACAGACCCAGGCTGGGGAGGGGGAGGGCCACTAGGACCTTCTGTCCCCACAGGCTGGAGACTCTGGTCCCCTGGCCCCTCACCCTCAGAGGAGATGAGGTTGTTGTGCAGATTGAGGGTCCTAAGGGCACTGAGGCGTGATAGCTCGTTGTATGGGAGCTCCTGCAGCTGGTTGTTCTGTGGGATGGGGTGGACCATTCATACTCCTGACGTTCAATGAGCCCTGATTTTCCATTCCCATCAGACCCAACACCCCATCACTCACTGCACCAGGACCCCAAAGAATCCCATAACCACCAAGGTTTGGACCCCAACTTCAGCCCCAAGTGTCCATTACCTTGACCTCAAACAACCCCATAACCACCGAGACGTGGACCCCCAACAACTCAGCACTTGCAAAGTGGACCTCACTCCCTGTCACTTTTCATATCTCTATCCCAACAGCTCTCCCCTCCTACAGAGACCCCAACACTGTCACCAACACAGAATTCCATTGCTTTCCAGACCTTCACAATCAAACCCTTTCTCTGGCCCTGTTCATGTACCCCTGTACGCCCTGTCCAGCATGTCCAGCATGCCCTGTACTCCCCTGTGCCCAGCCCCACCTGCAGGGAGAGGTGCTGAGCGGCCCTGGTGATGTTGTCCGGGAATACTCTCAGGTCCAGACCATCACAGTCCACAGTCTCCTCACGGAGACAGGAGCAGCGAGGGGGGCAGGCCCGGGGCCAGGGCTGCAAGCTCTCCCCCAGATGGGGGAAGACTGGATCCTCCATACTGGGGACCGCTGGGAGGCCCAGCCACAGCAGGAGCAGCAGCAAGAGGAGCTGCTGGAAATAGAGGGGTCAGCGAACCCCTCAATAGGCACCGGGTCGCCATGGCTACAGGAACATCCAAGTCAGGCAAGGGGTTGGGGGAGGCAAGCATGGTGGGGGGGCCAGAGCCAGCTGGCAGAGTTGGGGGAGGGCAGGCCCCACCCTCAGACCCTCCCCCTCTTACCATAGCCAGCCCCAGTTCTGCCTTCTTTGCCCGAACTGCCCACTAGGGCTCCTTAATGGAAACCAGGCGGTCACCTCCTGGAGCCTCTGAGGCAGCTGCCACTAGCCCCATTTCTCAGCAGAGGCCACCCCCCAGCCTGTTCTCCCAGGGGCTTGAGGGGGCCGACCCACTCCTGCTCCGCCCTTGGGGAGGCCAAGCAGGCATCCGGATGGGGTGGTGAGAACAGGCCAGCCCGGCCCCCAGCTCTCCCCAACTGCCCCCCACTTCCCCACCCCACCCTACCCCCACCACTCCTGTTTGCGTAACCTCAGCCAGCTTGGGCCGGGCCACAGGAACAAGGAATGTTTGGGGAAAAGCTGAGATTCGCCCTGTCTGGTATTTGAGCCGACCACAGGAGTAGGGATGGAGGAGTGGGGGAGGCTTCCGGGCACAGGAGGATCCCTGGGGGGTCCAGGAGGCCTGGGCTCAGCCTCCCAGTCCAGATGCCAGATTGGGGTCTCTTGTCAGGCCCCTCCTCCCTTCTGCCAGCTGGCCTTGCTGGCAGCCAGAGTCCCCCCTCCCCAAATGGCTGTGGCCGCCCAAAAGGAAATTACATATATGGACTCACCAGCAAACTGGTTAAGGCTGTGAGCTCGGAGCCAGCCTGCCTGGGTGTGAACCCTGCCACCTTTCTGGCCTCAGTTTCCCTCTCTATCCAGTGGGCTAATGACTGCACTCACCTCCAGGAGTGTCATGGGATGAAATGAGATAAAGTGTCTGGAGTCTGTAGGACAGCGCCTGGCACTGCCCACGCCTGGTGGTATGAGCAGCAGGAGAGGAGGCTCAGCGGTCACCCATTCAGATCCCCCAGCTTTGAACCTCAGCTTTCCCACATGTGGAATGGGGACAACAGGCAACCGTCCCTCAAAGGCCTGTCATAAGAGCAAAGTGATGGATGCATTTGTTGTTGTTGTGTGCTGTGGAGTCGGTTCCAACTCATAGTTGACCCTACACAGGGTTTCCAAGGCGGTAAATCTTTACGGGAGCAGAAAGCCTCATCTTTCTCCCATGGAGCAGCTGATAGTTTCGAACTGTTGACCTTGAGGCTTGCAGCCTGATTCGTAACCACTACGCTACCAGAGCTCTTTAAACCAAATCAAATCCACTGTCTTTGAGTCGATTCCAACCCGTATCAAGCCTGTAGGGCAGAGTTGAGAACTGTTCTATAGGGTTTCTGAGGCTGTAAATCTTTACAGGAGCAGTCAGCTTCTTCGTTCTCCTGAAGTGGCTGATAAGTTTGAACTGCCAACCTTGTGGCTAGCAGCCCAACGCTTAATTCTCTTGAGTGAAGCACAAGAAGCTTTAAGAAGAACTGCAAGGGAGGTCAGTCAGCTCAGGTAGACAGAAAGGCAGAAAGGCAGGGCCGGGCAGGACTGATAGTGGGCTGGGTTGCCATCAAGTCTCCCAGAAACCCCAGCTTGAGACCTGGATTACAGTGCATTCATCCTGGAGAACGCACCTGTACGAGGGCAGGGAAAGACTCCATGGAGGGGCATGATGGTGGTGGTGGTGTGCCATGGAGTCAGTTCTGACTCCTAGAGACCCTGTACAGGGTTTCAAGTTGTAGGTCTTTATGGGAATAGAAAGCCTCATCTTTCTCCTGCGTAACAGCTGACCTCGAGGTTAGTAGTTCGACATGTAACCACTTCACTACCAGAGCTCCTTAGGGAAGGGAGGGCAGGCAGTAAATGGTGAGTAATCAATGTTGTATAAGTGCTGTGGAATCCATTCCAACTCATAGTGACCCTGTATAGGGTTTCTGAAGCTTTAAATCTTCTCAAGAGCAGAAAACCTTGTCTTTCTCCCACAAAGCTGCTGGCAGGCTTGAACTTCAGACTTGTGGTTTGCAGTCCAGTGCTTACCGTATGAAGCCACCATGCTCCCAAGTTATCAATTGTTGTTGTTGCTAAGTGCCATCGAGTCGATTCAAACCCATAATGACCCTGTATAGGGTTTCCGAGGAGCAGCTGGTGAGCTTGAACCGCCGACCCTGCAGTTCAAACAGTTTTGCAGTCTGGCGCGTTAACCCACAGCGCCACACCAGGACGTCAGTAGGGCGATCGATTTATCAGTTTGCTTGGAACTTTCAGTTTTATCATTCAAAATCCCATGCCTCAAGAAATCCCTTAAAACAAAGCAAAACAAAAAAATCTCACTGCCACTGAGACAATTCTGATTTACAGTGACCCTGTGTAGGATTTCTGGGACTGTAAATCTTTACTGGAGCAAACTGCCTCATCTTTCTCTCATGGAGTAGCTGGTAGGTTTGAACCACTGGCCTTGCAGATATCAGCCAAATATCTCACCTACAGCAACACCAAACAGTGACTCCCTCTAGTTATAAAGCACTTCCCACTGTGGGCAACCAGAGTTCAATCCCACTGTGGAACTTTGGGAGACAGCATAGAACACACATTTCAGAGTCATCCCACCAGAGGAGTCAGGGAGCTACAGTACTAATCTATGGAGGTCTACCCATAAATCATTGGTTGGGCCGCTCCTGTGCACACAGGGTAGAGCAGAGTCCAGCCCCAAAGAGAGGCAGATACCTGAAGCTGGAGGCACACTGCTGGACAGCACCTGCTATAGTGGGGTTCTGGAGTTGGTGGTTATAGGTTCAAATCATGGGGAGGCAGAAGTAAGAGAGGGATGTTAGGGTGATGGAACTGGGATCTGCAATTCAGGATATGAAGATGGGGTCGATATGAAGGAAGAAAATGAGAAGTGGTGGAAAAAGAAGGTGTTGGGGGTCCTAGAAAGTCTGTATTATTCATCCCCATCAATGAAGGAAGTTAGATCCAGAAAAGGGGTTGTTGCCCACTGTTCCCAGGAAGTGTGCCTTCCTGAGTCCCCCCAACCATGGATGGGACAGGGAGCAGGTCTTACCTTTGACCAGAAAACAACAATAGTCTCCACCCCAAGGTCTCCACATGGGACTGATGACCTCTAGCTGGGAAGTTGGGTAGAATCCCCTCAGTCTTCCCAGCAGAGTAATGGGAATAGTCCCAGGGAAGTTGAACTACGGTAATGCTCCTAGCTCAGAGATGTAGCAATGGAAGCCCGGTTGTTTGAATTTCTGGTGGGCCTCTTCCAGTTATGAAGGCCGAAGAATCCAAACCAAAGGAGCAAATATAAACAAGGGCATTTAATGGTTCATGAATGGAAAAGTTGTGGAATGTGTCCTTTAGGCACAACTGGACCCAGGGGGCTCAAAGTTCTCCAGATGCATTCTTTGTCTGCCTCTCCACTTCTCTGTGGGATGCTACAATAACCCCAGCAGTGATATGCATGCATCCCTGGTTTCTGTACCGCTGAATGCTCCTGGTTGAATTTCATTGGCTTAGTTTTTGTCGCACATCCTTCTCTGACCAGTGTCAGTGGTCAGGGAGCTAGAATGTGCTGATGGGCTAGGAATCTAGCTACTTGCTTCTATAAAGAACTCACCTGCCTTATCTTCCTGGAACAAACTTCTATCCCTCCTTTTATCTAACCCTGCCCTGCCTTGTCAAGCCCACCCCAGTCCACCCCAGACCTGAGCTTCTCTGCCTTGTCTAATCCTACTCTGTCATGCGCTGCCCAGGGCAGCCTTTCCCAGCACAGCTTAGCCCTGTCCAGTCCAACCCAGCCCTGACCTTCTCAAGCCTGCCACCATAGCCTCAATGCCCAGCACAGAACCTGGCACAATCAGCATTTGGTACATATTTATGGAATACATAGGCAGTTGTCTGTGCAGATGAGGATTTCATGGTGAGGAGTTTCAGCATTCCATGGTGTTCCTGAGGCTCTGATCTCAGGGCAAGGGAGGGCTGTGGGGTCAGGGAGACAAGGGACAATTGTAGTAATACTGAGGGCAGCTGGCACAGCCATAAGGTCTCACTGTGGGTTAGGGTGGTGGTGTGGGAGGGATCAAAAGGCTGAAGGGAGACGGGCAACTTAGATATTGGCTACCTAAAATTGTGTGTGTGTGGGGGGGGCGCTATAAAGGTACAAAGTGACTGGCTTACAAGTTTTCAAGAGGAAGTTTACTTTTAGAGTGTGTGGGTGAAGGTGGAATCCCCACTAATGGTTTTCATCTTGTCTAGACGGGTCTGGTGAAAAGAAATGGGGATAAGATTCTTATGATTCAATAGTGAGAAAGGGTTATCATGACTGATTGCAATTGTCACAACTGTAAAAGTAGAAGTTTTGTAGAAAAAACAGGGGAGTGGTTAATCTTACAGTCCAGAAATGGAAGACCGACCCTAGGACCATCAAGGAAGAAGAGCACAAGCAGAATGTGGTACCCTGTCCAGAGAAGCCGCAACACCCAAGATGGAGGCAGAGATGATGACATGGAGAGAGAGAGCAGCTAAGAACTCTAGACTCATGGAAAAAGAGGGATTGAGAGCTGGCAGCCAGAGGCAGACTTGCAGAATGTGCCCTTTGGTTGTTTAAATGATTATATATTCCTGAGTGTTTTGGTGTATACCCTCCTCACTGAAAAAAAAAAAAAAAAGGCTGAAGGGAAACGTAGTCTCCCAATAATAAGAAGAAAGGAGTCTTAGCTTAGTGCTGCTTAATAAACCAAATCACACACTGTGGACCTGCTCCTCCTCATACTCTGATGATATCCATATACAAACAGATCGTCGCATGGGGGGAAAAAGCTGTCTTTTCCAACAGTTTCCCTTGTTGTTGTTGTAGTAAGGTGCTGTTGAGTGAGTTCCAAATCATACTAACCCCATGCACAACTGGTCCTGCGTCATCCTCATAATTGTCACCATGTTTGAGCCTATTGTTACTGCTACAATCTCAATCCATCTTCTTGGGGGTCTTCCTCTTCTTCGATGACCCTCCACTTTTCCAAGCATGATGTCCTTCTCCGGGGACTGGTCCCTCCTAACAACATGTCCAAAATACAAGAGACAAAGCTTCACCACCATCTTGTTTAAGGAGTATTTTGGCTTTACTTCTTCCAAGACAGATTTGTTTGTTCTCCAACACCATAATTCAAATGCATCGATTCTTCTACAACAGGGGTAGGGAACATTTTTCTCCCAAAATTTATAACATCATTCATGAGCCAGACAAAATTACCAACTTAAAAAAATTAGTTTGTCATATTTGGTCCAACATTTAATTAACTCAACCGTAATGTGATGGCTGGAACTACGGTTGCCTTGGAAGGGCCAGACCAAATGATTTCTGGACCGGATGTTCCCCATCCCATTCTACAAAGTTCTCCAGAGGGATGCTTTGTCTGCCTCTCCACTTCTCTGTGGGATGCTACAATAACCCCAGCAGTGATATGCATGCATCCCTGGTTTCTGTACTGCTGAATGCCCCCAGTTGAATTTCATTGGCTTAGCTTCTGTCACACATCTTTCTCTGACCAGTGTCAGTGGTCAGGGGACTTTATTCATTGTCTTCTTTATTCATTGTCTTCTTTATTCATTGTCCAACTTTCCCATGCATATGAGATGATTGAAAATACCATGACTTGGGGCAGGTGCACGTTAGTCCTCAAACTGATATCTTTGCTCTTAACACTTTAAAAGATCTTTTACAGCAGATTTGTTTAACGCAATACATTATTTTTTTTTTTCAACTTTTTATTGTGAATTGAGTAAAGGTTTACTGAGTAGATAATCAATTTTACATTCAACAAATCATAAACTTTGCTTCACTACATGGTTGCAATCCCCTCCACGTGCCC